AGATAGTATCTCAGATCCAGTCCGAGGACTGGTTTGTTACGATAGATCTCAGAGACGCTTATTTCCATGTTTCCATCCTCCCTCAACACTGAAGGCTCCTGAGGTTTGCTTTCGGGGGCGAAGCATACCAATATCGAGTTCTTCCCTTCGGCCTGTCACTCTCACCCCGCACTTTCACGAAGTGTGTGGATGCTGCTCTGGCTCCACTGCGACTCCAGGGCATCCGCATACTCAATTATATCGACCCTGCTGTACATGAGACTCTTGCAGTGGTGGCTCAGAACCAAAGGATTTTCCCTGAGGGGTAATCCGCTTTGCATGATCAAGGTCACGCGGCGATGCTTACGTGCCTTAGACATGTGGAAGAAACCTTGGTTCCTGGTTCAAGGCCCGACGTTAGGGGCTCCTTGACATCGCGTAACGCTAACGACGGATGCCTCTCTCACGGGCTGGGAAGTGGTCATGAGTGGCCGCTCTGCCCAGGGTCTGCGGGAAGGCCATCGTCTCTTTTGGCACATCAACTGCTGGGAAATGCTGGCCGTGTTTCGAACTCTGACACATTTCCTTCCAGACCTAAGGGGGCATCATGTGCTTCTCCGCACAGACAACACATCGGTGGTCTCCTACATCAATCGGCAGGGGGGTCTGCGTTCGCGCCCCTTGTACAAGTTTGCGCGCCAGATCCTTCTGTGGGCTCAGGGGAAGCTCCTCTCTCTAAGGTATCTAAATCAGGGGGCAGATGTCCTGTCGAGACAGGGGCTGAGGCCTGGAAGGATAGGAGCTCATTTGGAGGGAATTTGGCCAGGCGGAAGTGGATCTATTTGCGTCGCAGGAATCGACACACTGTCCGCTCTGGTTCTCCCTCACGCATCCAGCTCCACTGGGGCTTGATGCCATGGTGCAGACGTGGCCGAGGTGTCGTCTGTACACTTTTCCCCCGATCGTTCTGCTCCCGGGAGTTCTGGAGAGGGTACGCCGGGATGGGGTCTGTCTGTTGCTAGTAGCCCCGTTCTGGCCGGCCCGAGTATGGTGTCTCGGACTTAGCTGCTTACCACACCCTTCTGGGTGGTCAATCATTGGGAAGACACCCACTTGTCACTCGTTTCCTTCGTGGCACCCTGAGGCTGGTACAGCGCACCAAGGTGCCCTCATGGGACCTGGCTGTGGTTCTGGAGGGCTTATGCAATGCCCCCTTTGAACCCATAGAAGAAGTTTCGGTCAAGTTGCTCAGGCTCAAGACCATCTTTCTCCTCGCTATTTCCTCACTAAAAAGGATCGGGGATCTTCAGGCACTTTCTGTTTCGTGCCTGGAATTTGCTCCAGGCATGGTTAGGGCATTCCTTTACCCGAGGGCCGGGTATGTCCCTAAGGTGCCCACTTCTTCACCAGGGCCCATAGTACTTTAGGCATTCTGTCCTCCTCCGTACCAGGAAGTAGGCCAAGAAAGGCTTAATCTGCTCTGTCCAGTTCGAGCACTGGACACTTACGCACACAGAGCTGCCCCGTGGCATAAGGCAGATCAGCTTTTTGTTTGTTTTGGTCCGCCAAAGAAGGGATTTCCGGCGACCAAGCAGACTATGAGTAGGTGGGTGGTCGAGGCCATCTCACTAGCCTACGAGTCCTCTGGCCTCCCGTCACCTATGGGGGGTCAGAGCGCACTCGACCAGGAGTATGGCGGCCTCCAAGGCTTTCAACTTG